ACCCCTAAGTACTACACTCTGTAACAAAATGATAGGACCCCTAGTTTTTTATCAATAACTTACCAAATATTCGATGGATTTGTTTCAAATTTTGGTCGAATATAGGTAAGGATATTATGTATCAAGAATAAAAAGAAAAAGTTAAAAGCAATTTTTAAAAAAATTTTATGATTATAAATTTGATTTTGGAGTGTAACAAAATGATAGGACCCTTTGTATTTTCGACCTTAGGGGTGGTCCGAAAAATCCACAAAAATTCCAGCAAACATATCTATCGATATCTATAGAAAATACAAAAGAAACAGTTCTGATGTACTCCCATCATCGAGATGTGGTAACCCGAAAATCAGCAGAAAACCGGGGGTAGACGTAATTAAAAAATATTTTCGACCCCTTACAGATAAAATAAAAATTTTATTTTAGACTTATTTGAAAGCTCTTGAAATTTGCTACAAGATAGCATCAATTTTATTTTTTGAAAAAAATTTACCTTTAAGACACAATGCGATAAACTTTCAGGTCATAAAAATCACACAAAAGCCCCCCAAAAAGTGATGAAAATGTGACTTATAAACTAATCTCATTGTTTTTCAAAAAAGAATTTTTTCTGGGTTATGAGATAAAAGCTATCTTGTAGGAAATTTCAAGGGCTTTCAAATAAGCCTAAAATGAAATTTTTATTTTGTCTGTAAGGGGTCGAAAATATTTTTTAAAGACGTCTACCCACGGTTTTCCGTTGATTTTCGGGTTTTCAGATCTCAATGAAGGAATTATATTGGAACTTTGTTTCTTTTGTATTTACTATAGATATCAATAGATATGTTTACAGGGATTTTTGTAGATTTTTCGGACCATTCCTAAGGTCGAAAATACAAGGGGTCCTATCATTTTGTTACACTCCAAAATCAAATTTATTATCATAAAATTTTTTTAAAAATTGCTTTTAACTTTTTCTTTTTATTCTTGATACATAATATCCTTACCTATATTCGACCAAAATTTGAAACAAATCCATCGAATATTTGGTAAGTTATTGATAAAAAATTAGGGGGTCCTATCATTTTGTTACAGAGTGTACACATAGGGGTCCAGAATAATTTTATTATCGTCTCGAAAATTATTCTAAAAAATTTATTTTAAAATTATATTCTCTTTTTAGAATCGACTTTTGGAGGCTCTAGGTAAGCATTAAAATTTACAAATAATTTTCAAAATTTTTCAAGAATTATTCGAAAGCATTACAAATAGCATGTTCTTTTCTAAAAGCTCAATGATTTTGTTCCTCAATAAAATTGATATCTTCTCTGAGAAAATCAAAAAAATTTCTTTGAATATCATCTTCTCTTCTTATAAAGGTGTTAATTTTGAAATTTAATTGATTTTGAAATTTTATTTAATATCCATTATTCAATTTAATTTACCGTTTATAACTAGAAATCCTTTGTTTTATGTGTCTTTTCTTGGACCTTTTGATATTTTTGAAAACTATACTTTTAAGTTGGCTAAAATACTGTGATTCTTGAATAAACCTTATAGGCACTAGTTTCCACTTTCCTACAAAATCCGGCTCTATTTCACTTTAGTGAAATTGTGTAGTATTTATTATTCAATAAAATTTGTATTTAATTAAAAAAAACTACGAGCTTTTAATTCGTATAGTCGCCAATATTCTATTTTTTGGAAGCCATCCTCTCAGTATGGCTAAATACCGTGTGACTTAAATAACTTACCATACATCTAATTTTCATTAAGCTCCAAATTGTGACTAATTAGGATAGTTTTTAAAACTATAAACCAGTAAAAATTTTAATATTTATTTTAATTTATTCAAAAGGTGGACTAAACTATCAAGACGGAGTTGCCTATTTACGGAAAAAGTTTCTCAGACTTTACAGGAACAAACAAAAATTATATATTCACGAGACATGTGCAACAGACACCACACAACTTGAATCTGTTTTTAATTCTGTATTGGATACTATTGTGCAAGAAAATTTACAAGATACGGGAATGCTTTAATATTTTACTTGGAGATTTTAATAAATGATAAATGAATAAATATAATTTCTAATGATTAATGTTGAACTAAATATTTTAAGATATTCTTGTGTCAATAGTTCCCTTGATTTGTATCATCTTATTGAGAGTTAAGCAAGCAGCAAAGCAGAACCAATAATAATTTTGAATACAAAAAAATTTTGAATGATATTTTGTATGGTCGAAGTCAAACCACACTTTTTTTGCCCCTTTGGGGTGAACATTCTTTCAGAGACTTCTATGGAGCAATTTATTGGAAGGATTTTTTTGAATTTATTTAAAGTTGATTTTCTCGATGGTGATGAAAGGTATCAAAACAATTTAAACGTCATTTGATAAAGTACAAACTATTGTATCAAATTTACAACCACGTCCTGTACCCGATTAATATACCATAAGATATAGTCTTTTTCCCGAAGTTTAAAAATAATTTAGTCTGAAGATCATTCTTTGGATTAAAAAGCCTGATCCTTAAAGCATTGACCCATAAAACGGTCACTCGTAAGATTTTTAACCCCGAATAGAACAAACAAAACGAGATCTCGTGCACCAATCTTTTTCGGCCCATTCCTGATGAACATTCTAACGGCAAGATCGACGTTTATAATGTAGAAGAGAGGCTATAGGGGTGGGGTCGGGATATGAACAAGTCTCAACATTTTAATTTTCACCTTATGGGAGCGGGTGGATGCGCATTAGTATTCAATAATTGAAATACTAATTCATAAGAGATTTTGATATAGATATTGGTCTGCGTCACTTGTGGATATTGCAGCTTTATTTTTGGATGCAGAGCAAAGCTCATGCAGATATTCTGTTTTCTTGAAGTATAGGGTTTCAAAGCCCAGACTTTCTGATTATGCGCCTTAATACTAATTAGCGGTTATTATGGTTGCCGTTTTCGATATGCCTGATTTTGGCAGATTTGAAACGGCCGTTATTAATCCTTGAATGTTTTACTCCATATGAGAGGAATAAGTGAAGAGAATCATATTTTAGCGGTGCAGGCGAAAATTTAGAAAGTCACTTTCTAAAGTGACTTCCTCAAGAACTCAAAGGAAAAATTTTTCGAAATTTCTAACTTTTCCAAATTAATTTTCATTTTTTTATTGTTTACGATTAAATAATTTAAAAATATTTCCTCGAAATTAAAAAAAATTCCCACGTACTTGAAAAACACTTTTTTCTCACTCCAACGTATGAATAAAATTCTTGTTTAAATTTTCATTTTTTTCTTCAAACATAGCGAAAAGTTCAAATACAATTATATAAAAAAGCCACATTTTCTGCCAGCTACCTTGAGAAAATTACACATTGCCTTATATTTTAACAAGCTTAAATTAATTAAAATTAAGCCTTGAAAGCTTTTATAACTCATAGCAACCGTTTATGAATATTTTATTAAGTTGCCTTTAGTTAAGCAGAATTAATAAAATTAAATAAAGGCCTGCAAAATTAAATAAAGGCCTGAAAGATCTGTTAAGTTTCCTCGAGCCTAGAAAATAAAGAAATCAAAACAATCGTTGTTGGGTGGATGAGTGGTTAACAACCTTCGATATCATGTGTTATCTAAATCCTATATCCGAAACCAGGACAAATTTTCGACCCTATATGCATCCCCATAAATTTCCTATACCTCTGAATTCTATGCCCTGTTAACAAATCCTTGCATTGGAGTGGGTTTAGGATATAGGAATATCCAATCCTATCCTACCACTCGGTGGAGAGATACGTGAGCGTTCACTCAACTCTCATGACAAGTCCTAATCCTTTGCAGTTTTCTGCATGGGTTAGGTTGCTTTATTCAAGGGCTCTTATAATAAAGCTTCGGAATAGAGAATCATATTAGCCTAAGCATAGCTTGACTTCCAAAAATATGTCAGCACCATACAGTGCTGACTTTTAGCCTAATTCATTTAATATTTCAGCTTAAGTTAAAATAAAAATCGCTATTGAACAGAATAGAAACCTTGCAGCAAAACCAGTAAACCAAAATAAAACTTTGCAGCAGAAAGCTTTCAGGACAGACCCATCCAATTTCAGAGATGTTTAGGCCGTTTTAGTCAAGTGACCTTATGATAAAATTACGGAATAGACTAGCAAGATATTAGCCAAAGCATAGCTTGGCTTTCAAAAAATATCATGGAAGCAAGAAAAACCTATAGTGCAGCCTAATTCATTTTATATTTAAGCTTAAATATAAAATAAAAATTGTTATTGAACAGAACATCCATTTATCTTGTTAATTCAATTTTGACTTTTTGTGTCCATGTTCTCCCATCCATTTAAAAATTTATTTAACAAAATAATAATCGTTTTAGACCTAAACTTATTCATAAATAATCTCTTCATACAAAATTAACAACTTCAATAATTATGGGCCTCTGTGAATCAATCGAGGAGACTGGTGCAGATCAAATTTCAAAACAGATAGACCTTGACTTAATGAAAAAGCCCAAAAATGTTTTACAAAAGCTTTTGATTTTAGGTAGATGGTCGTTAGATATATTGTTTGAAGTCTTGTGTTAAAAAATTTTTATATAAGGATTTTAAAATACAAAGGGCTGAAGACTTATTGTGTGATCTCGCACTAATTAGCTCCTTGGGCGACGAAGAAGCTCAGCTCCTTGGAAAACCCTTCTACAGTGCTGGGTATTTGCCATTTGTTGCTCCGGCTCCGGATTTTCAATATCTCTGTAGTCGGCGATTTTCGGAGCCGCTCCATGTGGCTCCGGGTTAAAAATCAATGAATTATTTTTCATTTGGGGATTTGGGTAGATAAAGAGGGATATCAAGTGATATCAGAGGATTAAGACGGTTTTCAATGAATATAGCGGGAATTGGGTGGATTATCGTGTGATTTAGGTGGATTAAGGGCGATATCGGGGCTTTTTATTCTCATTTAACTTTTTATTCTCATTTCAGGCCCAAGTGAAAGCGGCAAAAGTACTTGTGTCAAACAAATGCAGTGAGTATTCTTAAATTTATTTAAAAATCTTAACAATTATCTTAGAATATTGCACACCAATGGGTTTAGTATAGACGACTTGGAAAGGAAAAAGTATATAGTCTTCTCAAACACGGTTGGAAGCATGGCAGAGATTGTTGCAGCAATGTATGATTTGGGCATACAATTCAGCAACCCAACTTCTACAGTAGGCTTTTTATAAATAGAGTATCAAAAATTATGAGGTTGAGTGCATAATATGCATATATCTAATTATGGATATATAAACGACTAAAACACATCTAACCAATCAAGATCATAAGAGAGTTGTGCGTATTTTTGGAAGTCAATTTATTTGACTAATTTTTCTTCCAGTGCATTTGAATAATGAGACTCGGTTGGCCAAAAGTTAAAGCTCTATCTATTAACGAAAGTAAAAGTTCATACGAAGCCATAAAACTCCTTTGGAGAAAATAATGCTATTTCTATTATTTTTATTATCAGGCAGACATCAACGCAATTAAAAGGCACATAGATTCTGGCAGGGAATATTGCTCACTTCCGATAATTGTGTCAGAGGCAATCAAAAATTTATGGAGAGATCCAGCAGTGCGTGTGGCTTATGAAAGGCGGTGTGATTATCATATACAAGACAGCGCTTCATAGTAGGAAAATTAGTTTGAACTACATACCGCTCTTAAATGAACACACTTAGCATGAAAATTGCCCCTATAATGAGTTGTATGTTAAATAGAGAGTCGTTTAGAATGAAACTGAAACTTTGCTGACTTAAGTTTAAACTGATTTAAGCTCACAAACACTGTTGTATGAGTGATAGGGGATACTAACATAATTTGAAGGAGACACTCACACCTCTTCTGCGTGTAACTCAATAACTCAGTTGAAATATTATAAATTGAGAAATTATTAAGGATGTTAAAAGAAAGTTATTACCGTATTTCCTCTCTAATAGAACGATCGTCCTTATATTTTTCCCTCTCATACAGTATGAAAAAATAAAGGAGCTTTTTAATAATTTTAGTTTCTTCGACAATATTGACAGGATAGCAGCAAAGGATTACAGACCTACTTGTCGAGATGTTCTGCTTACCAGAGTTGCTACGACCGGCGTAGTTAAATTGCAATTTATGTTTAAAAGTATTGAATTCAAGTAAGCCTTAAATTTATTTTAAATACACAGACAGAGAACATTTGATAAGGAACACTAATCTATTGAGCTGTTTAAGACTCTTGGTCTTGAATCTTGACTCAAGACATTTCTTGGGTATTTTGGTCTTGGTTTTGGGCAAGTCTTGGTCTCGGGTCATTAGTTTTGAAAAATGTATGGTCCAACCATGTGTGCCAACTATGTGTGCAATATCAACGACTAATAAAGTAAAAATAGCCTAAGCAAATCTTGGCTTTCAAAAATATAGAATCTTGACTACTGGCGCCCATCTTGAATAGATTTACATTGACTCATATCTCTAAATTAATAAATTAATATATATTTTAAAATCACATCTAAAAAATAACAGAATCTGGCAGATAAGCCAGCTAACACATTCTTTTAGTATCTAATTATATAATTGAGAAGGGTTTGTGTGTTTGTTTGTCCGTCTGTCTGTCCTTTTATAGACAAGTGGGCTTTTATAGTAAAATGATTTGGGGGAGTGAAGAAAAGGGGGTTTTTATAGTAAAGCGTTGCCAGTTGAAAAAGGTTGAAAGGGTAAGCAGATAGTATAAAAGCAGGGTATTTTGGTCAGTCCTCAACTGCTTTCAAAACTTCTCAACATTGCCGTGCTTTGTTCTACGTCAACGTTTGTTGGAGTCCTGTGTCCTCTTAAGCCAGTACTCTTCTCCTCTTGCTAGACGTCAACGATCATTTGTCAAGTGCTAGACGTCAACGTTCATGTGTCAAGTGCTAGACGTCAACGTTCATCTGTCAAGTGCTAGACGTCAACGTTCTGTGTCAAGTCCTAGACGTAACGTTCATGTGGCAAGTGCTAGACGTCAACGTTCTGTGTAAAGTCCTAGACGTCAACGTTCATGTGTCAAGTGCTAGACGTCAACGTTCTGTGCCAAGTCCTAGACGTCAAAGTTCATGTGTCAAGTGCTAGACGTCAACGTTCATTTGAAGTGCTAGACGCAACGTTCATGTGTCAAGTGCTAGACGTCAACGTTCATGTGTCAAGTGCTAGACGTCAACGTTCATGTGTCAAGTGCTAGATGTCAACGTTCATGTGTCAAGTGCTAGACGTCAACGTTCATGTGTCAAGTGCTAGACGTCAACGTTCTGTGCCAAGTCCTAGACGTCAAAGTTCATGTGTCAAGTGCTAGACGTCAACGTTCATTTGAAGTGCTAGACGTCAACGTTCATGTGTCAAGTGCTAGACTTCAACGTTCATTTGAAGTGCTAGACGTCAACGTTCTGTGTCAAGTCCTAGACGTCAACGTTCATGTGTCAAGTGCTAGACGTCAACGTTCATGTGTCAAGTGCTAGATGTCAACGTTCATGTGTCAAGTGCTAGACGTCAACGTTCATGTGTCAAGTGCTAGACGTCAACGTTGTGAAAAAGGTTGAATATGAAGCAGGCGGAATATCGAAACAGGCGGAAATTGAAACAGCGTGTTTAGTAGTTAGCCGAGAGGAACTCCTTAGTAGAAGGCTTCCTCTTCGCTAGCCCGCTCTTTTAGCTCCTATTGCAATGAAGCTTTCTACCTGTAATGAGTTGGAAGTACAGCCGCCAGGAACTTTTATGGGGTGAGTTTTTTGATGTCTTTTGAAATGAAAAATACTTTTAGGCATTGTTGTGGAATTGTGGCTAAGGTTTGTAAATCAAAAGCAAAAACTACAGTTTTAATGAAATGCAGCACTGGTCAGATTTTTGTGGTCACTGCTTTTGCAACTGTAGTTGGGAAGTATGGTGTTTTTGTAGAGCTGTGTCAGTAAGGAAGTGTGAGTCTAACAATCAGAAGTTTTATTTTTCGATTTAGGTCGTCGATTTAAACCTATTAAAGATACAAGCGTTTGATGTAAAGCGCTTTGATGGGAAAAAGATTTACAGTACGTTTTTGGATTATGAATTTGTTGTTACGTCGGCAACGATTATTAAATCTCAAGGAATTCCTGTCAAAAAAGTTGCGACGTTTAAAGAAATGGATTCAGGAGGGACTTATAGTTAGTTATGCGATAATTCAAGTTAAATTATTACTTTTAGGTTTTAATTGTGTGCTGGCCTCTACTTTTTTTAATATTGAAGAGAATTTCTGTGCAATTATTGCGGATGATGACAACAAGCGGGCAGATCTTAATGTGTTAGGGAATAAAGAAAAAGACAAATTCATCGAGTTTGTACCTGGTGAGGAGATTGAAATCAAAAAAGGCTTTGTTGTGATTGAAGGTAAAGTTAATTTACCTAATTACTTTTATATATTTTTTTAAATTTAGATCAATGCCTGCATGTAAAAGTTCAAGTTGATGATATGGAATTCATGAATAATAAGAAACCAGTTTCAAAACTCCTCACAACACCAGTTAAACATAAGAAGGATACAGTGAAAAAAGATTAATGTTTTGTGATATCCAAATGATAATTATTAAGTTAATGTAATATTGTATTTTGAAATTGTTCTTTTTAATAGGAATTGCTTGCTTATTGATTAAACTGTTAGCCCATTGTTTTAAGAAAGGGTTAGGGTAACGAAAAATAAGAAAGGGCTATGATAACAAAATCATGCTTTAATGTTTTCTCTGAGTAGCCCGATAATTTTCATATTTGAGTAAATGGCTTTAGATGTTTTGATAGTTGTTTAAGAAAGGAAAGAATTCATCTAAGAGGTTGAGAGGATTTTGATTTGCTTTGCTAGCGAGGTGGGGCGGCCGAAGGCCGCCCTACCCCGCTAGTGTTAATAAAGTTAGATTTAGCTAATTTTGGTGTCAGTCTAATTGGCTGACTAGCCATGATCCTTTCCCGAATTTTAGGTTTACCCTAAATATTTGTGCAGATACCAGCTGACTAATATTGTAAAAATAGCCTAAGCACTGCTCGGTTTACAAAAATATACGAATGTTGGCCGGTGGAGATTATTTCTTCCAGATTTAAATTGACTCATATATCTCTAAATTTATAAATTAATATATATCTTTAAAGTCAAAACTAAAAAACAGAATCTGGCTGATAAGCCAGCCTATCACATTATGTTTATAAAGTTTAATCTAGATAGTTTTGGTGTCAGTCATATGCTTGATTAATAATTGATCCCCTTCAGCTCCAATCCCAAACCAATTGCCTCTTACCTATCGCAGATGTCGATCTTGCCAAATTTAGGAAATAACCCTGAACAACGGCTTAGGTATATTTTGTAATATCCACTCGATCTGGCCCTTTTTACGCCTACTTATACGGATATACAGACTGTTGTGTCCGCACTTGCAGAAAGAACATAAATGAAAATAAATAACCCAACATCGGGTTGGATGGTGGCACAGTCGGTTGTGCTTCGGTCTGGGCTCATTCCTTGATGGTTAAATTCCATCTCCCATCCACAATTTTTCCACATCATGAACATCGGACACTTCACAGACCTCCTTCCTTAATCAGACCATAAGGTCTATTCGAAAATTAGTTACAAATTTTTAATCAACACAACTACAACTATTCCACGTTTATTTTCAAATTTCATTTAAATTAATATTTTCAGTGTCTACGATGTAGGAGGTCAACGCTCAGAAAGGCGTAAATGGATACACGTATTTGATGATGTTAATGCTATCATTTTTGTTGCGGCAATTAGTGAATATGATCAAAGGGTTAGGGAGGATAACAGAACGGTAAACAAAATAAAACTCAAAAAATTAACCTTAACTGAAATGAATACTAGCCAAATTTATTGCTAGGTTTTGTTAATTAACTAAGTCATTGCTTAGCTCCCAAAAAATAAAGCGTTCTCTCCCGCCCGTTAAATTTCTATATCCGATCCTTTAATTATTCATATAGAATATTTTAATAAAATAATACATATTTAACAATTATATCTCGATTTTTGTTTCGAGACTTTGTCTTGGTCAGTTCTCCAAAGAGATAAACATCACATGAATAAATATTAGCCACTTCTAGTGCTAGGTTTATGCGTGTTTAGCTAAGTTATGACTCAGCTTCCAAAAATACTAGATAGACACCAAGAGCGACCTTTATGCAGATCAATTGCTACGGTTATAATTAGGTTTAATGAACTAATTGATATTTAAATTACACGCGAAGAGATTTATCATGCTGCAAAGCATCCCAACTAGCGTGATCATTGTAAGCTCCTAGGAAAACTTTAAATATCTAATTTAAAGATTCCCAACTAGCATGCCTATTTCAAGAAAGTTTGAGATAATTTTTACAACTCGATATCGTTATCTTCAAAAATTATACATAGTGTTACTTGATTAGCTAAATTATAGTTTAGCTTCCAAAAATACTTAGCGTACTCATAAAGGAAAAGGAAATCTCATATGCAAATCTATTTTTAATTTTATAGTTATGTTTAACAAACTAAATGATATTATATCACATTTTAATATTTGTGAATAATTTACCGTAAATCCTTTATCATAAATGAATGCCCTGTTATATTTTATAATTTAGATTTGAGATGCCAAGATCGAGAAATCCACTTAAGATCAATTTTGAGACAATTTTTTAGATCTACTGATTTTGAGATCTTCCAAAAATAACCAAGTGCGTCAACATCTCCACCATACCATATCCGATCGTTCAATCATTCATATAGAATATTTAATAAAATAATACATATTTTGACACTTATAACGATTTTTGTTTCGAGACCTTGCCTTCGTCATGTCTCCCAAAGGGATATCAATAAGATCTCTTATAAGTAATTTTGTGAGCTAAAATGGATTAACAATAAATAAGGACGATCTAGTCATTTTAATAAGCATAAATTTCTTAAAGAATTGCCCTTTAACAAGCTCAATTTTACAATGTACGATTGAAATTAATTTATAATTTTTCAGAATCGGCTAATGGAAGCAATCGGTATGTTTTATTTGAAATCAGATTAGGGTCTGTATCAAGAAAAATATTATCTCGATAACTGTAAGGTTTTGTCTCGAACAAAGATCCCACTGGATTAATCCTTAAGCCGAATTATCAATGATCGAGATTTTTATTCAAGGCTCGTCTCAGTTCTTTCGCTAGTTTTCAAAAATTTTTTAAATTAATTTTTGAAAATTAAGAATTATTCCACAATGTAGCCAACAGTATGTACTTTGCCAAAAGCACAATGATTCTATTCTTAAACAAAAAAGATTTATTTGAGGAGAAGATCAAAAAGTTATCGCTCAGCATTCTCTTTCTTTCTTATGGGGGTAAGTTGAAATATACCATATATTAATCTTCAAATAATACACCTCCAGCTAAGGATATAAAAATAATTAAACATGTATTAGATACGTATATGTAGTTATCGTTTCACATACGATAAAAATTTAGTCAAATTCAAATTTGACTTCTAAAAAATTATCCGTCAACCTAATCTTCTTCACACTGTCCTAAAATATTCTTACTTTTACATTATTGATATTGCATTATTAAATATTTTACAGTGAATACCTATCTTTTCATAATTTCATCCCTTTATCCAAAGAAGTCAAACAAACGTTCCTTTTCTCGAGCCTTGTCATTTTATTATCGAAGATGCGGATTTTAATACTGTTATGTATCGACTTACGGTGTGTCCGAGATACTAACAGAAAGACGTCTAACTAACAAGGTTTATCTACAAGGTTACAATACAATAGAATAACGAGACTATTTGCTGGAGTGCAAGGACTAAGACTGACTGACTAACGGAATAGACTAACGACTGAAATGGACCAACTGACTCTCTCGATAACTAACTCAATCACTCGATAACTAACTCGATAACTCCCGGACTGGCTAAAGCCTCAGCCTTTTATACTAAGCACATACCCAACAAATACGATACAAATACAAAATCTGATTTGTCAATAGAGATTTTTCAGAAATTTTAATACCCGTGATAAGGTTTTCGGAATAAAATTAGCCAGAGACAAGATATATGTACACTAGACAATTAATTACATTGTCTTACAAAAATAAACGGACATGCCAGTAATATAGTGCAATGACTTTCTGGCCAGTGTGACATTTACAAAACACTTTTTTAAAAAATTATATATTATTCAAATTATAAATTAAGGCGGATTAAACTACGAAGAAGGAATCACTTTTCTCCGCAGCAGATTCCAAAATGTCTACAAAAACAAATCAAAACTTTATATTCACGAAACTTGTGCTACAGATACAAACCAATTAGATATTGTTTTTAACTCTGTTCTTAAAACTATTGTTAGCACTAATTTGAAAGGAATGGGAGTTTTGTGATTTTAAAATGAGATTAAATTAATTAGCCTTAAATGATTTAAATAAAATTTTAATTTCTCTTTTTTCTTGAATCTAAAAATTAAAAAATAATACTCTGAAAGCACGGTTAAATTGTGACACTAAACACATAATTAACTATGCTAAGAACAATGTGAAAATTCATAAATTAAGCTTAACCGCAAAAAGTTTAGCTAAGTCATCTCGTAGCTCCCAAAAAATTACGCAACTCAATCATCCGCTGACACTATGGATATGATCCATCGTACTTTCATAGCTAGGTTTAATGAAATATTTTATATAAATCAAATTTTCTGCTAATGGATTTATCGTAATTTCATAGCATTTACAGTTAAATTGTGACATTAAATACATAAGGAAATAAACTAAATACCACTATCGGAGTCTAGCAAAGGTTTAGTGACCAAGTCTAGAATCCCAATCCTAAGATACACATTAATCATCCTGCACGAATAGCCTAAGCACTGCTTGGCTTGCAAAAATAATTTGTCAAAACGAAGAATCAATTAGTTCCACGATAATTCAAATTTACTTTTATCTCCAAATTTATAAATTAATATATATCTTTAAAATAATAATCAAAAATAGTTTAATCTCGCAGATTTTCCAACTTTTATAATTATGTTGTAATTTCAATGTTTACAATGTTGGAGAACAACGTTCATAAAGGCGTAAAAAATAAAAATAAAAAAAAATAAACATTCACTGAGTTAATTCCAAGTTTTTTCTTAGCTAAATTATTGATTAGCTCCCAAAAAATAAAGACAAATCTATGGCGAATTACATTGTAATCTGGATCTATTTTAGCTCATATAGTTAGGTTTATTGAAATAATTGATATTTAAATTTCATTTATATATGAACGAATTGGATTTTAACACTATGTCATTAATTTTCTAATTAAACTTACAATTAGATAGCAAAAAATTAGTCAAAGTGAAAACTCGACTTCCAAAAATTAAGACGTTCTATTGCGAGCAAGCGAATCTCATCTACTATTTTTGTCATTTATTCTAACTATTTTGAATTATTAAATATTTTACAGTAAAACTCGAACTTTGGGACGAAGTTCGACTTTAAAAAGCGTTGGAAAATCTGCAGATATACTTATAGAGGTTAATTATTTGATCATCTACGGGAATTATAATCAAATAAGACAAAAGTGTCAAAGTGTTAAAATGAAGCCCGAAACCATCCCCCTCCCCCCCCCAGTTCCAAACCGGTTCCAGACATCGGTTTACAGTTCCGTTCCGGAACTGGAACCGTGTAACTTTTTGTCGTCTATTTTATTCCAAAACTGGAACTGGAGCCGCATCGGTTCCGGAACGGGAACCAATCCATTGTTAACAATTTAAAAAATTTTTGAGATTTTCTATTAGGTTTATTGAGGCAATGTCATCCATCGACTGTTAATAAACCTTCTCTCTCAATCATTTTTAAAAATTAATTTTACTAATTTGACATTTGGCATTTCCCTTCTTGTTGTCGACTATATTTTATTTGAACAGCTGTGCGTATCACTCACTCATTTTAGAATTTTCCAGAAATATTTCCTCGTTTGAAAAAATTGTTTATTTACGCTTATGACAAACACACACCTTTCCCTCGCATTTTCATTTAATCGCGATGACTCATAATTTCAAAATTTTGCTAGAAATGTTTTTAAAATTAGTCGTCAATGGCCTTGCTCTTTTCTTCTTTTGAAATAATGTTTGGGCGTGGACTGCTAAGGGAGCTGGCTAATAAAATTATGAGAATGTTGCTTACTAAGGTTGACAATAGGCGGGTCTTGGACAGATCCTCTTGGTGAGGTGGCACCAGAAATATGACAGAGACTACTTTCGTTGTTCTAACTCATTTTTCCAACTCTCCCGTCTCCCTACAACATCACTTCTTTCATCTCTATGGCTTAATTTCTAGTACTGTTCTCCCTATACCAGGAGATTTTAAAAGAAGACTAGAGGCAAAAGTAAGTCATTTAAAAAGCAAAAGACGAAGGAAAAAGGCGAAACACCAAGGGAGGCGAAAATTCACTGAAAGATGGAGGCACAACCCCTACCCCAGGAAAGGCACACCCCTGTATATACCTAGACAATTTTATTTAAGATTCTCCCGACATAGGCTAAACAGTACCTTTCAAACTCCCATTGTTCGTAGTGTTCTCCCTAGTCCTTTGTTTGTTTGTTTGTTTGACTTTCACTAGGGAATTATGCTTAAAATCCTTCCAAAAGCCCAAAAAATCTCCGCGCCCTCGTATCCCTCCTTTCTTAAGTGCGGAGTTCGTTTTTCTCTTTTTCCATTCACTAAAATAACAAATGAAAAATTTCTCGAATGACAACCATCTGCCATCCATTATAATACGTAAATAACCTTTCCCCATTGATTCCCTCCTCTATTTATCCCTATAAAATTTTGATTTTTTCTGTCATTTTTAAAGATATGCTCTAATAGTTTTTGAATGGTT